CGTATAGGCGGGGGGGGGGGGAATCAAATTTGTATGAGTATTATTGTCAGGCTGAAAAGGCCAAACCTTTCACTCTTCTTCAGGATAATGAGCTGTAAGGATTCTTCACAAGTGCAGATCCATGAGTAGTTCTTTTACAGGTATTTAATGCTGTATTGCTGAATTCAGCTGTCCTGGAGAGAGCTGCAGATGGCAGTCACCACTTTTACATTTTTGAGGGTTTCTTTTTCATTTTGAGTGAGATAGTAAGTTGAGTAAGAGAGTAAAGGAATGAATTTTCAATTTGATAAGCCTTAAAGCAAGTATATTGTATGCCTAGCAGTCATGTTTCTCTGTAGGTCTTTATAATAGAGGTTTTTTCCCAGACATCTCTTTGGAAAAATACTAAGGATCTTAAAATCAGGTTTTGAGAGGCCAGTATTATGAGCAGGTAGGGTAGTAAGACTTTGTAAGCTTCGTTTCTGCAGGCCCTTCTTTGCCGAGTTTTAGTGACAAAAAGGAGTGAGCTTACCCTAGGATTTTAAGAGCACATATTTCTAATAGAACTTGGCAGTTCAAGGGCTAAAGAAGCATTTTAATCTTTTGTGCCCACCCAGTCTCTTTACAAATGTAAATATGTCTGTCTTTAACAATTTGCCAGGAAATGTGGTTTTAATTTGTTAGCAGCAATCCCACTCCCTGCAGCTCTTTCAGAGTCAAGTCACAAGTCTGGCGGTGCTTTGACGTTTTTCTCTGTCATGGTGTCATTGTTTATATGATGTCTGTTTCTGCTGTCCTCCTTTTTATGCCTGGAATATTTTTCTTTAATTATTTCACTGCCTAAAAGGAATTTGGGATTACTAGACAGGATGAGAACAGATTAGCTTTTTTTCTTTCTTTAACAAGTCCTGAAGTTCCCATAGGAAATAAATAGTATTCCCAAAACACACGGTGTTTTTTATTTTTTTTAATTAACTAAAATTATTAAGTCTAATAAAGAAAATAAAGGAAGTAGCACCAATAATGGCTGAGTGTCTTAGGAGTATATGGAGTGCCCATTGTTGTTATTTATGACTCTCTTTGCCTTCTATTGTGGACTTATTCCAGCCTTAGGGAGTTTACATCACTCCTAATAGCAAAAGGCTCTCTGGTTCCCACAGAGTTTTTCAAAGACTGACTCATATGCCTGATGTTAATTGTTCAGCTCTCAAAATACAGCACTTAGAGGGTGTGGTTCCAAGGGGAAAATCTACTGTACTTAGAGGGCATGTTCAGAAGTGTTTCTCATATAAATCATTTTGATTTTTAATTTTTTTAACGCCTTAACCCTTTTCTGTCGCTACTTTATGTGATAAGTTATTTGAAAACAAAATAAAAGGTTGATGACGGCGTAGTGAGGGAATGTGTTAGCCCTTCAGCTCTGGACCATTAACCTGCAGTCTGACTCAATTCACAAGTGAGATGGCTTCGTCATCTTTGCCTCTCTCCAGGGTCTGCTCTTCACACCCTGGCATGACGGTACACTCCAGGCAACGATCACGCACTGTGCGTAATGGGATGCAAGTTAGAACTGAGGTTTATTGCTTATCTGCAGTAGTGAGTACATGTGGACAGGAACCGTTCCCAATCCTCCTCTGGATTTTGTACAAAGTGCTACTTTCCACCCATTGTTTACCACATTTACAAGAACTGCCTTTAGCGGACTGGTGATCCTGTCTCAGTGTGCCATGTTCATGTCCTCAGCTGAGGACTGAAGAAGGTTTAATAGAATTAGCCTTACCATAAAGCAGAATAAGGAAAGTTCAAATGCTTCTGCTTGTGCTTCTGTTCTCTGGCTAAGTAAGAGTGCTCTCCAGCTCCTTTGATGCAGAATGATTGTGCAAGATCCTTCAGTCTGAGCTGTGTGAACGTTACTGGAAATCAGAATAGTTTCTACAGACTTTACAGTTCAGAGTCTGTGTCTCCTCTTAAAATTAGCAAAGCTCTTGAGTATCTTAATAAAATTCCCGTCTTTAATAGTTTACAGAATATGAAAAGGTATTTAGTCAAATTAGGGGAGTCCATACCTCTAACAGAATAGAAGCAGCAATTAATCCCTCAGATTAAACTAGTTAGGCTTGATTTCTGAGGTTGAAATCGCATTGCATGTATGTCCCATATGTTTTCTGCCTGCTGTGAACACACGTGTTGCACCATTAGCGGGCAGAACTTCATGCATCTCTCCATCCACACAAACACGTTTGCATAGTTTGCCTCTGAAAGGAAGGCTCAAAACAGCTGTAGTTTTTTAAACTCGAAATGGCTTTATTTCTTTGCCTGACTGCCCTCTTTCTGCTTACAAAACAGGAAGTTGTTTTCACTGGCTTATTCTTCTGGAAAGAGCGGTGAGGTTTACCCTCTCCTTCAAAATAGAAATAGAAATACAAATGGGCAGGGCTTAATCCCCTGTAAGTGACAGGTTCCTGAGGGGCGTTCCAGGCAGCAGTCATGTACACGCTTCGGCCTTGCAGTCTTTCTCTGCTTTCTTCGGTTCTTTCGTACCGCCCGGCTCCAGTGTGCTAGCTTCACGGTGAGGAGCAAGAAACGGTGTAAATAAGCGCTCCCTACATTTGATGAGCCCCAATCAGAAATTGCATCATGCAGGCTGATGAAGAAAAGTGCTATCAAAGAAAAGGAGATGCACAAAGCCTCTTCTCTTCTTGACTTTGCCACATTTTTTTCTCTCCTCTCCATAGCCTCAGAGATAATACTTTTTTGAAGTATGTGGTAAATAGTGAAGTCAGCAAATGGCCCCTCTCTCATTGAGATTGTTTCATTGTGAAAGGAAATGCTCACAGCTTGAAGAAAAAGAGCATTTTCCTTCCCTCCCTCTTGCCCCAATCTCGTATTATGTAAAACCATGGTGCTGCTGTTAGCTGAGACCAGAAAGAATTCCCCTGTTGTCCTGTAGTAGCCAACCACTACAAGCTGTGAGCGTTTGAATGTTAGTATTAAAAGTTTTAACCCTTGCCTTCTTAAATGAGCAAATAACACTCTGTATATTTTTTTGTAAGTATGGAAAATTATGGGGATTCTTCTGAGAATAAGTGTATAGACCACTGCGCCAGTCAGTCTCTTCAGAAAAAAAACAGACAAACATGCTCCTGTCTGCAAGAGAGATTCCTGGCATTTGTCACAGTTTGAGCCACAAAGATGTCAAATATTTGCCAACAGTTTCCTCAGACAGTTTGGAAAGCTACATCCTTTACATTACAGTCTTGTTTGTTTGCGGTATATTTTAGCGTATGAAATATGTTTGTTGGGAGTCTGAAAGGGGAGGGCACTGGCTAGACTCCCAAATATTAAAAGATTAAAAATAATTCTGTTTCTCTTAGACTGCTCAGATCAAAATAATAAAGAACATCTGTAAGTCTTAGTATTAGAAATGGAGTTTTGCGTTGAAGAATCATAGCTTGATATGTCACGTTTTAAACCTGTGTTTTCTTTTGGAGCAGAAAGAAGAACTTTCCAATGGGACGTCTGAATATTTTACTGAATCTGCGGAGAACAAGAAGCTTAAGATAAGTCTGAACGAACAAATAAAGCAAGACATCTTGAAAGAAATGTACGTCACTATTCTTTCTAAGGTGTTAAATTTATAATCTGGTAAAATTTGGGTAAATAGAATCTAGCCTATGTAATAAAATTTCAAATAATATAAACTCCTTTACAAAAGATTGTTTTAAATTACTAAGCGACTACTACTCTAGTGTGGATAAGCACATAAAATGATCGTTGTTGTTTTGTACGGCATGAAAAAAGCTATTACAACCCACATAGATATGTCACATAGCGCTAGGCAGAATCAAAACAGGGTGTTTTTCCCTTGAATGAAGCTCTGAGCCAAAATAAATATGTGATGTTTGAATCTGGTGAAAAACACTTTGCAAATCTACTTTTTGTTCATTTTGAGAGTCTGCAGCGTACCACGATGTTAGTTCCGGATCTTTGGTCACAATTAAAGAGTGTCCCTGGTGTAGCGGATGGGGAGGGTTAGTTGGTCAGCTGAATATTTTACTGGTCCTCTGCTGTAACCTGGATGCCATTCTTACTTGCGCAAGCTGCCAGTAGCCCCAAATCAACTGTGGAATCGGGGATTTGCTGTGAACACTGGCAACTTTTCTTTTTACCCTTGTTATCTCATCTGTGTTGTCTTTAGAAATGAGATTAGATTTGGAGGTATGCCAGCTCTACCTATTTTGGAAGAGTCCTCTTTCTGAAGAGTTAGATATGCCGACCTGGGAACTGCTCGGCATCAGCAGAGCAGCAGAAAGCGGTCCCAGCATGGGACGGTCTGTAGTAATATCTTTAGACTCAAAATCTTACATAGGCAGCTTCAGTACTTGTGCACAAAGTTCATCTTACGGCCTACGTGAAATCTAGATTTGTAGGTAACACGCTGCCGAGGAGTGTTTATGTACTGACACTCCATCAGGTCCCTTGTGATCCCATTTTCCTGTATAATTCCTTTTAGAATATCATCTACTTGCATTACCTAAGTCCTTCCCAGATGAACGCGCTTGATACTAGACGAGCAGTGGTTAACTTTAAAGTCATGCTTTGAAATGTCCTGGGAAAAATTCCAGAGGAACATTCTAAAATAGAGATTAGAAACTCTCACAGAGAGACGCGCACACTGCCTCTCCCTGCCTGCCCCCTCTATTCTTTAGATATACGTTATGCATGTGAATATATGGGAATGGTTTGAAATAATTTAGGCACTTATGAAATACTATTTTATCTAGCCAGTTTGGGAAGGAATTCAATATACTTATGCCGCGTTGACCTTTAACATCTGTAATGAATCTAGTTCTGCAGCTTGGAATAGAATGTGAACTCCTTCATGGCTTAGTCATTAATAAATAGGGTTCCCCTAGTGCAGTGGAAAATCAGATGCATAACACTTGATATTATCCACACTAGACAAACATTGCTGCTTGTCAAGATGATATACAGGGTTTTTTTTTCCACATTCAGTCTAGGTTGCCCTAGTGGTGTTTCAGAGTTTGTAAGAAGGGCAGACTGAGGCAGCGAAGATTCTTTTTTAATTTAAAAACAAAATTCCTTTTTATTGCAGTGTGAAAAGGACAAAACCAAGGAAAAGTAGCACAAGCAAACCTCAGATCAGCAAGGACTCCAAGAAAGTGTATCTTGGCTCAGTGGACTCGCAGACAGGGAACAGAAAGAACGACTGTCAAACTTCTCTCAGTCCTCAATCTGAAGTGAAATGTAGGAGTGCAGGACTGCTGAAGGACTGCATAACTACAGCCGAGAGCAGCTTGGGGCTTCCTGTTTTAGAGCTGGAAAATTATGTTAATCAGAGACAGCCAGATGATGTTAGCAGCCAGCAAAAACCTCACTCCGTGGAGTGGTTGAAGTCGAGTCTTCTAAGCGAGAACCTTCCTTGTAGCTCTGAGTCAGCACTGCTAGGTCCAGAACAAAGTCAAAAAGCGACCGAAACACAGGCTCAACAGAAGAGCTGTGGTTCAGAAGAAAAGTTAGAGCATTTAAAAAAAGTATCCTCTGAAGGGACTCCTTTAATTCCTAGCAATACAGAAATGAGTAAGTGTGATGATGATTGTTTAGGTCCGTTCCCGGAGGAGAAGACCCCACTTAATTCCCGGTTGTTTTCTAAACAAGACTTGACAAAGACTGCGTCTGATGAGGAGTCGCTAACTTTGGGAGAAAACCTCTCCCGGCCTCTTTCCGTGAGGAACAATATAGTGCAGACAAACAAAAATGAGCTAAGCACAACCACTGAAGACTTGCCTGTGATGCCATCACCTTGTTTAGAACTGCAGCCTGTGTCTTCAGAGAAGCTCACCCAAAAAAGAAAGAAAGAGGTTGCAAATGGTCTCGGGAAGTTAAAACTGCGAAGGCTTAAGAAGTCAAAGTCTGAAATATTACCTTGATGGCAGGGGTGGACAGCCAAATTTGTGTTTGGAATGCATATGCAAAAAGTAGGAAGCGATTCAAAATAATGAAGAAGAATAAAAATACAAAGTCAAACTTTTTAAGAAAATTTAGTTAATGAAGTATTTTAGTCCTTTGGAACTGTAATGAAGATAATTCTGTTAAGTCTTTAGGAATTAAACATAAATATTGTACAAACCAGCAAATTATTTATAGAAAGAAGAATCTCTTGTAAAATAATATTTACTAAGCAAAATTTTAGATCTGCGTATGTTTTGGTACTATTAAAAAGTCATATCAGCTGCTGACAGCAACAGTTAAAACCACTTTTGTGATCTGTTAGCCGCCGCAGTTATTCAGTGTTTTGCTTGTTTCTGAACACCATTTATAGAAAGAAATCTCTTGTAAAATAATATTTACTAAGCAAAATTTTAGATCTGCGTATGTTTTGGTACTATTAAAAAGTCATATCAGCTGCTGACAGCAACAGTTAAAACCACTTTTGTGATCTGTTAGCCGCCGCAGTTATTCAGTGTTTTGCTTGTTTCTGAACACCATTTATTTTAGTAAAAATGAATCCTTTCTCTGTGTTAGGAAGTTCATGGTTTATTCACATGATCTTTACAACAGTAAGGCGAATTGAGGTTATTTCAGATAAAGCTTTAACCAGGATTTAAGGTAGCTGATAATAAATTAAGGCCCACCTTTTCAGTGGGGTTTCAAAATAGCTATAGTTTGTGCTTGTGCAGTTTTGGTATGAACACGTATTTCTAACCGGAATTGTGGATACAAGTGATCATGCGTTCAGTCTTTGGAAAAATGAAGATTGGTTTTATTTACGCGGTCACCTGGATGTGCAAACATGGCTATTGGGAAATGTTCATACAGAAGCATGCATACGCATCTTCGTGCATTCATGTTTCAAAATCAGGCCTTGCTTGTGTGCAAGGACTGTTTTTCTTGTGTTAGCGATACCCAAGTTATTTCTTAATTTAAGGTAGAGGTCATTTTTAATTGCACGGTGCTTTTTAATACTGCTTTTGTAACTTGTATGCTAATGCGCTAAGGAAATGTAACTTTTTAGTTCATGCTTATCTTTTTAAAAATGTTTAAAATAAAATTATAAGCAATTTTCTTTCATCGTTCTCTCAAAATCAGTGTGACCACGGATATTTTATGCGAAGCGATTTTGACAAATCTTACTGACGTATACTTACGGCTGTGGATATCCTCATTTAGGTTAATAAGATGACTCGCATCCATAAGCATTAGAGTTGGTAGCATAATGCAGGTCCTTACGAGAGTTAGCAACTCGGCAGTTGACAGCAAGACACTGTCGATTGAACAGCATCTTTCTGCTATAAACAACTTCCGCTTTTGCGATAAATCAAAAGTCTTCTAGCAGGCAGGCAGAATCGGCTGTGGATATCCTCATTTAGGTTAATAAGATGACTCGCATCCATAAGCATTAGAGTTGGTAGCATAATGCAGGTCCTTACGAGAGTTAGCAACTCGGCAGTTGACAGCAAGACACTGTCGATTGAACAGCATCTTTCTGCTATAAACAACTTCCGCTTTTGCGATAAATCAAAAGTCTTCTAGCAGGCAGGCAGAATCTGTTTTCTTTTTTTTCTTTCAGCCTGTTTGCGTGATGTTTCTGACGGTGCTTTGCAGTAAGGTTGCTAATGCTTCCCAATCTTCAGGCTCTGCAAAAGGGTCTTTCCTAGTAACAAGCAAAACCGAGGCTGCAAGTGAACCTGGGTTTGGAGGAAGAATTAGCCTGAGGTATGTTTACTGGTGTCTTTTGTATGGGCTCGAGATACTGGGCCAGGAGGGGAGTAAAAAGCACCTTTTCGGTGGACTTACAAGAGGTATAAGGACGTTTAATGAAGTATTTGTCAGAAAAATAAGAGTAGTTAAGATAGAATCATTTAATAGTTTGCAATAAAGTTTTAGCATATATTTTCTGGATGGTTTCTTTAAGTGCTTCCAGTGAATAAACTGATAAAAAGCGGTACAAGCACATATTCTAGACGGCAGTTTTAACTTTCCATTATTTCTGCTTTGCTCTTGCTTGGACCTTTGTGAATTTCCCATGTTGTTCCTGGTTGTAACAGATACCTACAGGAGAGGTTTAGACGATTATGCAGTAACAGACACACGTTGAGTTTACAAAATCGCTTCAGTTACTTCTTTTCATTTCATTCCGGTTAGGAAAAAGACCTTATGCTTGCTGTTGCAAACTGGCAAACGCACTGATTGCATCTGTGAAAATTGTGGATGGTCTTGAGCGAGTACGCCCCAAACTATTACTGCTGACAGCTTTGGATCCTGAAGCTGCCCTTCTTCTTGCCTTTCTCCTCTCCAAATCCATCTAATTCAAGTATTAGAAACCAGAGGGCAACCACATACAGTCTGTATCATCGCGTGCTGTTGTCATCTATAGTTCAACCTTGTAATTACAACTTAGTTTCAATCTTAACTGAATAACATACCTGCATGCACCCTTAGAAGTGAATGCCATATGTTTATGGGGGGCTTGGGTAGAGTAAATTATTTCCTATGTAGCTAAGAACACTTGATTTTTCCTTTAGGATATTTTATGTTACTTACAATGCTCTTTCCCCTCACCTCACTGATAGCACGGGAACATCCTCCTTTTAAAACAGTGATCTTGTAACAATAAGAAATGTAGGGCTGGATCGCTTAAAGGTGTTAGAGCCTAGAGAGTCGGAACAAATACGAGTGGACTTTCTCAAAAGTGCATAGTTGCATCATTCTCACTGTAATTACTGACTTGTGAGGCTCCTAGGCTCTTTGTAGCTGTGTATTTAGAGCTTAGTTACTTTAAAAAGTTGCCTCTTGGATCCTCTCAGAAATGCAGCTATTCAGGGAAAAAGCTTTGCATTCATGGTCATTTCTGGACTTTAGATGGTGTCGCTGCTCAAAACTGTTCTTTTTTTTGTCTGTGCAGCAGGACTATGCTAAAAGTTGCCCGTTTGCAAACCTTGTGGGTGCTTTACGTGAGGCTGTGACATCCAGGCTGTATTGTTACCCTATGTCTCTGTTCTCTCTCTACTTTAAGCCCAAGGTCGTCTTCTCTGCCTTTGCGTTTTTATCAACCCCCCACCTGCACCCAGGTGACTGGCAGAGGTGTGGTCTGACGTGCTCTTGAACCACAAACCTGATTTCCTAAATCAGGTTTAGGAAAAAAAAAACCCACAAGCGGCTGGAAGCTGAGCTAGGGCAAAGTGAGCAGTTTGCAAGTCTTGGCTGTGGCTTTGGATTACCGGTTTGCTGCTGGGCAGCGTTAGCATACCTTTCTGTTAAAAGTAATAAAGGTTTAAGGCTCTGTTCTGGAACTGCCATGGAAGCACAGAAACAATTTCTTTGGTTCATTTTTTTCTCTTTTGGGTTGGTTTGTTATGTTGGATTCTTTCATTTTTCAGAGCTGCTTTGAACTCCTCTGAAATATGTGCAGATCTGAGACTGGCTAAAGCCCGCAGTGCAGAGCTCACATTGAAAAATACATGTTTGTCCTAAAGAGAAATAACTGTCTATTCCAAACCAGCCAGCTTTGGGTTTTGTTGGTTTGTTTGGGTTTTTTTTTTTTTGTGAATCATCTGGTTAATTTGGTCCGTGCTGTTTGCTGATAATGAAACAGTCCTTTCCTAGCCAAACACTTTCTAATGTGTGCAGGCTATCGTTTCCATTATTCTTTACATCAAAGCAGTTAAAAATATTTGTTTAGTGAACTTTTGTGTTTAAACACACATCAAAAGCTGGGCCAGCCTTTTACATATTTATTTATAAAGAGGAAGCAGGCTGATGTAAAATCTCCCTTGCCCAGTGTTGATCGGTAGGGAGGTTTTAACTATCGCAAGAGTTATTTTGAGTAATAAGCGTTGTGCTAGTTCTGATATTATCTGTCAGGTTGTAGTTCTGCATACCAGGGTCTAGAGCGTATGTTAGTGGGTTGTTACACTTGCATAGCCGCATTGCTGCGTTACGCTTGGCTTGAGTAATTTCAAGAGCACCTGTTTATATCAAAAAAGAAAAATTTTACGAACCAAAACTTTCCTTGCTACAGCAAGTTTTGAGCAAGTGAGGTGTTAAGCAGCCTTCTGACGGCGTTTATTTTGTCAGGGTGAACTTCCTTCCCTCTCGCCGCTCTGCATGTGGGTCGCGTTGGCTGAGTTTTAAATGACCTTTTTACGTCACCACCTCATTGGCTTTTGACTGGAAAATGGGTGCTTGTTAAGGAAAAAGATGGAGGAAGTATTTTTTTTTTGGTTTGCGATTGGAATAAGAAAGATGTAAAACGTAGTTGGACTACCCCAGGTTGCATGTTACGGGTAGTCCTCTCCTTGCCTGTATCGGTATCTAATAAGAGGTTTCACACTGTATTAAAACACTAACGCAGGCTTGAGCAAACAGAGTTAATAGTATCGCGAGTCTTTTAGCCAGCAGTGGGAAGTGTGGGTTAGGCACTCCTCGCTTCTTTGCTTTCTGCTTTTTTCTTCTCTAATAAGCATTAACCGGCACCCAAAACCCTACGTGAAGGAGAAGATGTGGGATGGGGCAATAGCAGCACACCGAGCCTTTCATCAAAGGGATATCAAAGCATTCTGCAGCTGAACCTGGGAGGGATATGAATATGCTTATTTTGACAGTTGGGGCAGCACTGAGGGTCGGCACTTTCTTCAAGGCAAAGGAAGCTGGTTAAGGAACTCGTACTGCAAATTCTTCCATCAACTCGTTCAAGTAGTTTTGAACACAGTTCTCCCATCTCGTTTACCTTTTTTTTTTTTCCCCAGATAATTAAAATGGAACCTGGTAGCGCGTGACCTCGCCCTTTCCACAGCAGCAATAAGGCGACGTTGTGAGATGGGGACTTTCTGTTTGGCTGCTTGGTTGGCGTCGGCTTACGCTGAGAAATCGTAAGAGGGTTGTGAAAATGATGTAGGGTCACAGGGCATTTCAGCTGTAACCTGGAAATGGTCCAGGGAATTAACCTCCACCGTCCTACCTCCTTTACTATCCATTTCAGTTATCGGTTCCCGTGGGAGCGGGCAAGGCACCTTTTTTTGAATGAGAGTCTCACGGATGCGCTCCCACTCTGTCACGGCTCGATCCTCTAGTCTAACTGAGACATAGTACCTCAGTAGTAGGAACCGGTCATCTAGCTCCGTAACTGCCTGATTTGCTGCCGGAATAATTGTCTGATTTATGCATCAGATCTTTGAAGAAAAGTGTCTTGAGCCATAATTCTAGAGACGGGCATGCCCCTCTTTAATATTAATATGATCTCATAGTGCTAGAACAAAAAGAATAGAG